GCCCGCGGGTTCAGGCAATCCACTCACCTCAGCCTCCCAAAGGCGCGGGATTACAGGCTGAGCCACCGAACCCAGCTCTCCCTTCTATTTTTTGATGAGTCCAAGCCCTCTTCCCCCACAACAGACCCCAACCCCCCAATCCTAGGAGAGCCTCTCTTCTGCTTGCCTGCCAGGCTTGGTGTTGGGACTCTTTTCACTGATTACGTGACTGTTACCCTGACACTCTTTGTTTTCATGATTAGAAGAGTTACAAATAGCCTAGTCCTGAAGATTCAGGCCACCACCCACCACCCAATTTCTAAAGGAAGTTTGCTAAGTCCTCCAAGAGCACTGTGGTTCTGACAATGATAGCAGCTGGCTTGTTTTGTTCTTATTACTTGTCAGGCCTGTGGGCTTCCCAGGCAATATCATTCAACCTCCCAACCATCCTGTGATATAGATGCTATTCTTATCTCTATTTCCCAAGTGAGGGTACCAAGATACAGAGGGGGATTTGCCCAAAGCCAAGCAAACAGCAATGGGCCAAGTTGGCCTTGGATTTAGACAATCTGAGTACAGAGACCAGGCCTGTAACCATTACGATAGATTTCCTCTTGTCCTAAAAGTATGTTCCTTTTGGTTAAGTTCTGCTCTAGCTGTGAGATTTCTATTCTAGGGTTCATATTGGGTCTCTAAGTAATGCCCAATTGCAAAGTGGGAGGGTGTAGAGAGGGCTGCTGTGTCCCATGGAGAGGAAATATTTTGATTTTTGAGTGTAAATGGTGCATACAAGTTCTGCAGATTGTCCTCCAGGGGCTGCAGGCTGTGCTTTCAGGAAACACTCAAGTGTCCGCTCTGGACAGGCTCAGCCTGGGGAGGAGGGGCAGGTGCCCAGCTCCTGCTTACCAGATTTGGGCAAGCAGCCCAGGACAGAGGCGACACCCACGCCTTGGCTTCCCTGATAAAGGCCTGATGCTGAAACTCTGATTCAGCAGAGGTAAGCTCTTTCTCACCATGACACTTATTTCAGTTTGAAACAAAAGAATAAAAAACAATTTGGGAATTAAATCCCAAAGTGTATCGAACAGTGGACCACAGCACATAAAGGACTGGTGAGCATTTCAACAAGCACCATCTTCAAGTAACAGAAACACTCTCAAATTAGTGTTTTTAGCCCCTTTTTTAAATTGCTTGGATTAATAGTCAACTTTTAAACAAAACCGGAGCCAATATGTTGTTGTTTCCCCTATTTGTATCAATCTTACAGCTGTTGCTTTGCTAGGATTAATTTGCCTCTGAGGGGTTTCAACACTATCCTCCCTGGTGTATTTTCAGAGCCCATAATGTCATGTAATCGGGACCATGTTATTTTTGTCTGAATCTCTGGGAGTGATGTAAGAGGAAAAAGGAAACTAGCTAACTCCCAACCATTTGACCAAAGGTTAAATTAGTCTTGGCCTTTCCCCAGCTGGACAGAATGCTGCTCAAACATTTATTCCATCCAACCATGCAGAATGGAAGCCCTCTTCCTTTCTTCGTGAATTGTTTTCCCTAAGATATCCCTCCTCATCTTGCACCCAAATACTATGCCCGTCCTCTTTCCCCCCATCCCCCCTCCCACCTTCACATTGTTCGCTATGGAGCATTAGCACTGGAGAGAAGCGTGTAGAAAAGTCTTAGGAGGTGTAAGTAGATCCTGATGTGGGAACTAGAAACTTGTTTTTCTTGAGAAAGACTTCCATCCACTCAGTGGCTTCTTGGGGGACACACTGCTTAGCGCCTTGTCTTCGTCACCCTTGCAGACACCCTGATACCTCTGACTGTAGGTTCTACTTGAGACTAGTGACAAATGGAAGCCAAAAACCCTGCCCAATTCCAGTAGCCAGTCCTCTTGTAAGACACATAGTCATGCCGACATTTCACCCTAACAGACTTACACTTCCTCCAAGCACAGGAGGCTCTGTTGAGGCCTGGAGTGGGTCTTAAAATATTAACATCTCTCCATCAACACGATCTCCTCAGTATTTCAAAAACTTTGGGACGTGAGTTGTAGCTATTGAATGATATACCAGGCCCCATGAAATATTCACGTTTCATTTTTGGCACTTTTCTTTTGTCATTTAGTGGCCTGTAAGGCAAATTACAGCCTTCTGAAAAGATGTTTCTCTCCCAGGAGCAAGGGACAGTGAGATACAGCAGGATGAGCTGGGGCTTTGGAGCTAGAAGACCTGCAAAAGCAGCAGCTAACATTTATTGAGACTTTACCAAGTCTATGCTAAGCATTTGTGTGTATCATTTATTTTAGCATGTGCAATGATCCCAGGAGGCAGGGATTGCCCCCATTTTCTGAGAAAAAAATGGACACTTTGAGAGTCTGGGTAACAGCTGAAAGTTCCAGAGGCAGTAGGTAGGAAACCAATCTAGGATTGCTGGACAGGCTTGTTAGGCTACACCATGCTGATTCTCTGAGAATGCACTATGGACCCAGTCTCAGTTTCTTCCTCTGTGAAATGGGAACAATAAAATTTGTCTTTCCTACAGACATGGGTGGTTGTATGGCTCAAGCAAAGCACAGATGTGAAAAAAATTGTAGGCACTGTGAAGCAATATGCAATCGTTTTTGTTATCTTTATGACTGAGAAATGAAGTGCAACAGGGACCCGCTGCCTCCCAGGCTTCTGTGTGTGGCCTCAGCTCTTGCAATTCAATGGGGTAGTGGTGGTGGGGCCCCATGTGGGTGGTGATGGTGACATTTCAAGAACAGGAGGGGATCTAAGAAAACCAGGACACCTCTTCACCAGCCCCCACCCTGGAGCTAGAGCAACAACGATGACATATTTCTGTGTCCACCATCTCTTTCTTTTCCAGTCCTTGTGGATGGACACCATGCCAGTGTCATGTTCATTTCTAGCCCTAGTTGTGGAACACAACCGTAGTCATGGCAATGTCTGAGCAGATGAAGGCAAATGTGGGCAAGTTGCTCAGGGGTATTGACAGGTACAATCCTGAAAACCTGGCCACCTTGAAGAACTATGTGGAGACACAGGAAAAGGAGAATGCCTATGATCTGGAAGCCAACCTGGCTGTTCTGAAGTTGTACCAGTTCAACCTAGCCTTCTTTCAGACCATAGTCACTGCCCATATTCTGCTGAAGACCCTCACCAACCTGCCCCACACTGGCTTTACCCTGTGCAAGTGCATGATTGACCAGGCACATCAAGAAGAGCAGCCAATCCCACAGATTTTGTACCTTGGGAACCTGCTGGAGACTTGCCACTTCAAGGCCTTCTGGCAAGCCTTTGATGAAAACATGGACCTCTTGACAGGGATAACTGGCTTTGAAGACTCTGTCTGAAAATTTATCTGCTGTGCTGTGGGCATCACCTACCAGCACATCAACCACTGGCTGTTGGCGGAGATGCTCTGGGTTCTGACAGATAGGTAGCTGAAGGTGTGGATGAGCAAGTACAGCTGGAGTGCTGAGGAGTCGGGACAGATCTTCATCTGTAGCCAGGAGGAGAGCATTAAGCCCAAGAATACCGTGGAGAAGATTGACTTTGACAGTGTATCCAGTATCATGGCCTCCTCCCAGTAACTACAGACTTCTAATAAAGATTGTTGACTTAAAAAAAAGAAAGAAAACCAGGACACATGGTGGGAAAGAGAGAAGAGAAGGCACAAGATGTTGGAATAGCAACCCTTAGGTCAGCCATTTTTCCTGGTACTTCCTAGCCTGATGTCCCTTTGGTCATCTCCACCCAATCAAATTATGTCAAGTGTGTTCTCCTAATAACTCTCACATCTGGCTTCTCTCTTTCCCCTGTGCTGCTGTCTTGTTCCAGGTGCCCATTACCAGTCACCTGAGTTTTGTCACAGATGTCTTTGTCCTAGAGGGCTCCAGTTTCATCCCCTTCCAGTCCATCCTCCATCCTGTCATCAGAAATCTTATTCTTCAACGGCTACCCATCCACGATGGTTAACACGTAATTTCTGAGTGTAAGTAACTACCCTTCATGACCAGGATCCTGCTAAGACACGCGAGCTCAACTGAATTACATCTCACATTTCTGTTTTTCATTCACAGTAAACCACTGGCCATTGTCCATTCAGTACATTTTCTCTCTCACTACTGTGCTTCTAATTTTTCAGAGAGAGAATGCTCTTCTCTTCCCTACCTAGGAAATCCTATGCATCCTGCAAAGTCCAACTCATGAATTGTTCATCCCCCTATATATTCTGATTACGCTGTATTTTTTTTTTTTTTTTGAGTTGGACTCTCACTCTGTCGCCCAGACTGGAGTGCAGTGGCTGCTCCCGGCCACCTCAGCCTTGACCTGCTGGGCTCCGGCGATCCTTCCACTTCAGCCTTCCAAGTAGCTGGAATTACAGGCATGTGCTACCACGCCCGGCTCATTTTTTGATTTATTGTAGAGATGAGGTCTCACCAAGTTGCCCGGGTGGGTTTCGAACCTGCAGGCTCTGGCAATCCACTCACCTCAGCCTCCCAAGGCGCGGGATTACAGGCTGAGCCACCGAGCCTGGCTGATTATGCTGTATTTGAATTATCCAGTAATACTATAATTATTTATTACATGTCATTATCCTCCATGGTTTCTTAGATCCAGTCTTGGTGTCCAGTGCTTAGACACCAACTTGATAGGGGTTGTTTGAAAGGATAAATGAATCTCTAAGTTTGGAATTGGATTTGTATACAATATGGGTATTCCTCTTTTTTTTTTTTCTTTTGTTCAGATCACTAACTGTGTCCTTCCACAAATTTTCATGAGTTTTCCAACAACTGCAAAAACTGTATTCTTTGTCTCATGATGTGTTGTGGCTATTTCTGATTCTTCCTGAGTTGGGGAACTGTGTGGTATGTAAAATATCTCAAAGCAAGCAACAACACTTTTTTTTTAACTGAAGTTTTTATTCAAACAAACACTTTTACTGAACCCTGAAAAACCTCGGAAAAGATTTTGGTTCAGTGCAAGAGTCGAACAAAATTTCTGCCAGCACATTAATCCAGGAGAGTGGGCCTCCACACCTCCCTGATTCTGCTCTTCTCATTGGCTTTACGAAAAGGATTGGCACATCGTTGATGACACTATATTAGCCAAAGGAGCAAGATTGGAAACTATTCTTTCTATCAAAAACAAAACAAAACAAAGCAATGTAAATTGCAAGCACAGGCATGTTCCCATTATTTTTTCATGAAAACCTGCTCCAATTCAGTGGGTTAACCACAGCTATTTTGGAGATATACTATATTAGGAGGATAGACCGCAAAGCAAAATGTTGTAGACATTTTAATTGTTCCAGTTGATTGTTCATTGATATATCATTCTCTTCTAGATTTTCCACATTAACTAGCATATATAATAACCAAAAAATAGAAGAGCAGCTTTAACTTTTAATTTTTACTAGTCTGATTACAAGTGAATTAAATCATACGTGATCAAAAGCAACAGCAGCAGCAACAACCTCAGCCAAGTTAAAATGAATAACTTCCACAGAAACCCTCTCCTTAGAAATACTTCTTGTGCTTAGCCAACCAATTTATACTGGAAACGGTTGTCTGATTAGTAGTTCCCAAATACCAACCCAAGGATTAGTGTAGGGCAAGTAGCTTATTGATCTCGATCGCGAAAGAAAATTTTCAATAGTTACCCCCAGACCCCAGCCCAAGATAGGTACCCTGATTCAATGTGTCTGGGAGGAGCCTGGAAACGTGTACTTTTGCAAAGCCCCCCGGTGATTCTGATGCACAGATGGGTTTGAGGTTCACCCCTGTCTCAACTACCTTGCACTGATGTAACTTAGGGTAGCACCTTTGTTAATTCCTTAATTGACAGCTCTTCCCAGGGACTTCAAATGTGTGTGGCAGTGCACTGCCTGCTGGTGTTCTATGGCAAAAACCACAGGCTACATAAAAATGTGTTTGCCTCTCAGAGAGCCAGCAAAAACGTTGGCTTCTGCGGGCTGTTAACAGCCTCTTCACATGTAAGTGATTTGTCCCAGATTACTCTGGAGTTATTCTATTGTGCAAGAGAAGTGAAATGGCCTAAGCAAAGCCACTCCTCGGCAGGTTCTGCTCTCACGAATTCCGGAGCTTTTCTCACACCAGGGTGGGAAGTGCCGAGGTTCTGGAGCTAGACTATCCTCTTCATCTGGTACAGATCTGGCCCCGTGTGTCTCAATGGAAAGTCCTTTCCCACAAGGTTAGCAGCAACTAGATGCCTCAGCCTGTTCTCTAAACTGCAGGTCTGAGGCCCAAGTGATGGATGAAGTCACAGGGAAGAGCTCCTCAAGGGTGAATGTGGGTGCAGTTACCTTAGAACACCAAGTAGTGGTTGGACCACTTTATTTTGAAAGTTGGATTAAGCAGAAATGCATCAAGTTATTGGGAGACAGCTTGTGTCCAAGGCAGCAGGTAACCACTGGACAGCAAATTGCTTCCTTTAATATGAATCATTAAGACTTCCTTTTTTGCCATTAGATATATAATATATCTTTAAAAATATTTTAAGCATTTAAATTATTTCATCCTCAGAAATGGGGAAAAATTATATAACTTATCGGATGCATAGTTTGAAATATTTTCTCCCATTCTGTAGGTTGTATGCTCACTCTGCTGATTATTTCTTTTGCTGTGTAGAAGCTTTTTTAGTTTAATTAAGACTCATTTGTTTATTTTTGTTTTTATTGGATTTACTTTTGAGGTCTTAATTTTGAATTATTTGCCTAGGCCAATGTCCAGAAGAGTTTTTCCTAGATTTTTTTCTAAGATTTTTATGTTTCAGACCTTACTGCTAAGTATTTAATCCATAATGAGTTAAATTTTGTATGTGATGAGAGATAGGGGTCTAGTTTCATTCTTCTGTATGTGGCTATCCAATTTTCGTGGCACCATTTATTGAATAGTCTATGTTTTAGTTGACTTTGTTGAAAATCAATTGGTTGTAGGTAAGTGATTTTATTTCTGGGTTCTCTATTCTGTTCCATAGATTTATGTGTCTGTTTTTGTATTAGTACAATGCTGTTACTATATCCTTGTAGTATAATTTGAAGTCGGGTTACTGTGTTGCCTACAGCTTTGTTCTTTTTGCCTTGGATTGCTTTGGCTTGTGGGATCTTTTTTGATTCCATATTAATTTTAGGATTGTTTTTGCTAATTTTGTGAAAAAATTACCTTTGGTATTTTGATAGAAATGGCATTGAATCTGTAAATTGCTTTGGGCAGTATGGTTACTTATTTAATGATTTTAATTCTTCCAATTCATGAGCATGGGATGGTTTTTCATTTGTTTTGTGTCATTTACAATTCGTTCATCAGTGTTTTGTAGTTGTTTTTTTTTTTGTAGCGATCTTTCATCTCCATCCCAAGGTATATTGAATGGTCCCGTCCCACATATTAGCAACTGAAGGCTTCCCTCACATTCCTGTCCATTTCTCCTCATGCCAGGTACATTTGTAGCACAGTCTGTCACCAACAGAAGACCTTGTTATTGGAGTTTCTTTGCTGGGGATATTGGAGCTGTCATTGCAAACTTGGTATGCATTATGCTAATAGTGTATTTCCTAAATAAATTGAGATTCCTTCCCTGGCCACATAAGCACATTTTTTTCTCTAGGCCATTTGTACCATACTCGTTCCTTTTCTTTCTTAACAATTTATCTGTGATAGCTACACTGAAGAGCAGACATTATCCTGGTGTTGGGGTCCAAGCCAGAACAACAGTGTGTGGTTCTCCAATAGCCTCAAAGAAAATTCATTTCATGAACAAGCTTTTAAAATAATAATTTCTGTTGATGGTACTCACTGGTTACTATACAAATTTATCCAGGTTACTTTTTGTTTGTTGGTTTTTGAGTTGGGATCTCACTCTGTTGCCCAAGCTAGATAGCACAGTGACATGATCATGGCTCACTACCACCTCAAAAGCCTGGGCTTAAGTGGTCCTCCTGTCTCAGCTTCCTGAATGACTGGTACTACGAGTGTGCACCACCATGCCTGTCTACCTTTTTTATTTTTTTGCAGAGATGACATTCTACTATGTTGCCTAGACTGGTCTCGAACTCCTGGGTTCAAGCATTCCTCTTGCCTCGACCTCCCAAAGTGCTGGGATTATGGGCATGAATCACCCTGCACAGCCCAGATTACTTCTTATGGTGAAGATTTTTTAAAAATCCTGTGGCATACAAATATATATTTCCTGACATCTGCTGGCCTCATCAATAAAGAGCTTCAGAGTTGGGAGAGAGATGATAAAAGTAAATCCTGGGTACAGACAAGTGTGCTCCACCCTTGCTATGAACCCTCAGACGTTGTGAAAGGAAGATAGGCCATGTACACTCTCTCAGCTGCATTTGAAAGATGATAGATCTGAACCAGAATAACAAAAGTGCTCAGATACTCTTGTGAGAATTTGATCACCCCAAGTTCTCCAGAAGGCAGTTGGGAGGCTGAGAGCTGGCTGAGCTGAGGAGCACACACTCCATCCATCACCTTCAAAGCAGTATCCTGAGCAGGGGTGCTGCCCGGGGTGGGCTGCACTGGGCAAACAGGCACACCATTTGCATTTCTTTGTTGTACTGTTTGCATATTGCACTTTACCACCTGCCTCTGTACCCAA